TGCTAGGCAGATTTCATTTCCAGTTGGTGAGAGCTCTCAATTCTGTCCACCAGGGAAGTTACTGCATATCCCTCTCAGTAATGTCCCTTTTCATTCTTCAGATGAGATCCCTCTGTAACCAAATTTAATCAGCATCATCAACAGGAATTTCCTGTAAATCATTCCTAGGAACCCATCAGTTGTAATTACTCTATTCAGTACCAGGTTTGACAAGTTCAGAAGCTGACAAGTACCTAGGTACCACTGTACATTGGAGGTCTTGCAATCCATCTGGATGATGAACTTGACTGTGGTCTGCTTAGCTAAGGTATGCAGCCCCTTGATGTCCTTCTGAGCTCTGAGCCCAGCAGCGTCCTATCACAGAATATTCTGGAACATTGCGACAGTTCACTTGCATGGAGTGCAGAACCATAGTGAGATAGGATAGTAAGAAGCTTAAAAAAATTCCTAGGCAAGAGGAATGGAGAAACTAAGACAAGAAAATTAAGCAAGCCAAAACAATTTGAACTTACAGCCAGCTGGTGAATTTCAAGATATTATCTCACCTAACCAAGGCACTTCAGAACAAGTGGTTGTACCTCTGCTCCCTAAGAAAAGAATACACAACTTAATTCACCCTGATAGGGAAAAACAAAGAACAGAGACCCAATTAATGCCATTTGTGCCAGACAAACCCAAGGACAAATGAAGTCAGGAAACAAATAGAAAATAAATGCCATTGGAACCAGACAGACTCAAGATAAAAGTAAAACAGTACAACAGACCAAGAATATTCCCCAAACTCTACTATGTGCTCATTCCCACACATTATCATATTAAAAATGCACCTGGAGAGCTGGTGAATATTCTGCTGAAACCCTCCCCTAAGGGTCTCACCCACAGAAGAGCTGTAACACCTTCAGGACAAAGACTCAGGGCCCCCTCACTCTAGAGCACCCCTGCCCCTTCCTGGGTATGAGCTCCTTACTTCCTCCTTCACTCTATGGTCCCCTAGTGGGGACGTGAAACCAGGAGAGCAGGGGCAGTTCCTCCCAGGCTAACCCTCCCACCCAGCTCCAAGGTCCCCCTTTTCTCTGACTTCCCAGTCCAGCCCTTCTCTTTGCGACCTTTGTTCCTTGGGAGGTAACCACAGCCCCACTTCAGCTCACTCCTTTTCCTGATCTTCCCTGGGGCGAGCAAGTACAGCAGCACCCAGGCTCTCCTACTGCTTTTTCTACCCTAAGTCCTTCCTTAGAGTCACTGTCCCCAGCCCCCACCCCAGGGAGGACACTCAGGCTGGGGCATATCCTGGGACATCAGCTGCCAAAGGATCCAATGAAAGTGATTGGGTTGTAGATATTTTTAAAGACTGAATTTAAGAAGGAAGGAAAATCAGCCCCAACCTCAGAAGGGAGGCCCAGTGTTGCCAGGAGCTGGCCTGGTGCTCACTACAGATCCAGTCCAGGATTGGACTGTACGGGATCTCACAGAACATCAGCATCAGACAAGACCATCCCAAGTCTACGGCAACGTGAGACAGACTAACACCACATTGCGTGTTGTCTCAGCACACACAGAAAGGAGGCATGGTGCGGCTCACACACTACCAAGCAGCTCCTGGGCAGGCGAACAGAAGGGAAGGCAGCATCTTTCCCATCACCCTTTACCCTCGCTCCTGTCTGCCTCCTCCCTAGGTATTTCCTGAGATGCCCAGTCACAGACTTGCCCCCACGTCCTCACGAGGCCAATCTAGAGAGGCCCCTGTGCCCACAGATCCTCTTGAGATCGCTGTCCAGAGCACATGTCCTGGGCACACCCTGTCTCATGACCCAGGGGTGCGCTCCCCCTGCAGCAGCGATGCACACAGCCCGCTGTCTGCCCCAGGCACTCCTCCAGGTCTCTAGCAGAAGAACACTGACACATGTTACCTTTCCCTGTCAACATTTTTATAAGGTTAATCACATACAAGCTGCAACATGTTTTCATCTGCTGACCTGTGATTCTTCCTGTGTCCCCAGGTTCAAGAAAACGCTTAATCGCAGATCCGTGTAAGGGGATGCAGTGTACACCACAACAAGCTACGGTACTGAAAACAATGACAAGAGTGAAAATGAGTGCCTCGCTAAGACCAGAGTTTCTAGTAGCCATGAGGTTAGTTTAGACAAATCAGTACCAAAGAACCCCTCTGGTTGTTTTATCCCAGACACCACTTCGTTTACTTGCTTTATGCTCCATGGGCTGTGAATTCTCAGGCAGTTTCAAAGAGCAGAGACCTTTAAATTCTTCCTATCCATGATTATGTTTACAAGGAGGAAGTCCATACTGACACAATTCTCTAATTCTGCTTCTCTAACTTGTCCCAGTTCTTGACGAAGGACCCTTATGGCCTGAGAGCTGGCACTCAAGGCCTTTGCCACAGCACAGGCTAATCTACGTATTTCCATAATCAGTGAGGTCGCCATGGCTGGCATTAGAAACACAAAGACATATTTTGAGTGGAGCTAAAAACATGCAAATCACTGTTACAATCAGGTGCCAGGGAGAGTTCCCACTGAGCCCAGATGGGGTGGGGCTTCTGAGGCATAAACACCGTCCTTTTCCCAGAGAGCATGGCCCCCAAAGCTGTTTGCAGGAACATGGAAGTAACAGTCCTTCTGCATATTATCGATAGAAACCACCCTGCAGGCAGTTTGACGTGGCCAAACCCGTACAATGCATTAGTGGTGGTGATGCAACTCATCTTCACGTCTGCGGAAAGCACAAAACAGTTTTTTGTACAGTTGACAGAAGCTGCACACTTTCCTGCTGGGGCTGCATTAGTGACTTTTAAGGGAAACATTTTCTTGTCCTTTAGAGTGATCACAGGTCCCTGGTTATAAATATCAGAATAGGCTATTTTGTTACTGATACGCTGAAACAAAGTATGATTTCCATGGCTCTCCAATGGGGTACAAACACCTACAAGACCTGAAGTGAAAGTCTTTTTGACACAGGTTCCTCCTGCAGGACAGAAGTCGGGGATATTTAGAACTTTTTTTGCTAAGTATACCCAAATATTTTTTAATCTGGTTTGAAAGGATTGTTTTCCATAACATGGGGTTAAATAAAAATTAATGAAAAGAATATAAGCCATGGCTGTCGAAAGATGACTTTTAGGTCTTCCTGTGGTTCACTAGTCCATCATTATTCCAGCTCTTTCCTTTCTGGTGTCAAGAGTCCAAGGTTCATTCCTGCTGACATCATTGAGGTGGGGCTGGTGAGGAGTAAGTCCCAAAGTACAGCCCACTTTTCTTGTAGTAAGCTCTCTGGTGATCCTGTCATCCAAGGTCCAAGTACCACCTTATCTCCAGACTCAGTGGAATGTAGGGAACCTGCAGGGCAGAGATTCCTAACACAATAAATGTCATTAGTTACAGCTAAGTTCTGACTTAAATGTTGTACTTATTACTTTACCTTCATTTCTTCATCAGTATTTATGTCTCCCACCCCAATCATAGCCTGAAATAGTCGCCCATAAACACTCTCATAAAGACTCAGCTGAATCCCACTTCGAGGAGTCACCCTTATCCTGAGCAGGGCAATAGGCAAAGCTTGATCCCAATGGACATGAGTTTCTTCACACAACATGGCCACATTTTTCTTCAAGGTGTGATTCACCTTTTCTACTTTCCTGGAAGCTTGAGGTCTCCATGCTGTGTGGAGTCTCCACTAGATTCCTAAAAATTTACTAACTTCCTGTGTAATTTCTGAAACAAAAGCAGGTCCATTATTGGTCTGGATGCTGCCAGCGAGGCCAAAGTGAGGGATTATTTCCTTCAATAAAGCTTTTGCTCCCCCAAGAATTTCTCTATTCTAGTAGGATAAGCTTTTATCCATCTTGGAAAAGGTTTCAACAAAGACTAGCAAATATTTCCACCCTTGGACCCTTGACATCTGAGTAAAGTCTATCAGCCAGTCCTCAAATGGGCTCTTTCTCTGGTATTATTTCCCTTCGTTCTTTTGCTGGGGATCTGTCTTGGGGCTGTACTTCTGGCACACAACACACCCAGCAATTACTTTTCCTTGGCCTTAGAAATTCCAGGACCTGTGAGCCACAGCTTGACATAGGTGGTTAATGAGCCCCTTCCACAGTGAGTGGCCTCATGCAAATGCTTCATGACTGGCTCTACTAAATGTTCAGGAAGCAGTATGACTTCATTCTTATTCTCTCTCCATCTCCTGTCAGGACCTTCTTCATCAAAACCCCAGCTCTTGTCTTTCTCTAAGTCTGCAGTCGAATATTCAAGGTGAAATTCTGACAAGTCTAGAAGAGGTACCAAAGGCATTGCAAGTGTTCCTTTAGCAGCCTCTTCTGCTGCTCCATCAGCCAGAATGTTTCCTCTAGCCACCCCAGTGTCCTGGTCAGTGCATGGCTGCCTCCTGTAAAGGTACCTGAGGAGTCCCTAATAGTTTTTAAACTTCTGCTGCATGCTTCATCTCCTTTTTATTGGAGGCCAACAGTCATCTTTCCTTCCAGATGGAACCATGTGCAAGCCAAATCAGGAAAGTGTACCTCGAGGAGGCACACCCCTTTACACTCTTTTCATATGACAATTCCAGCATCCTCCTCAATGCAACCAGTTCAGGTTTGTGAGCAGAGGTTCCTGGCAGCGAGTCCTGGGCCTCCACTCCTCCTTCAAAACTCACTACCGCATACCCAGCCTCTGTGTTTCCTGTGTCCATGTAACTGCTTCCATCTGCACAGAGAGTCCAGTCTGCTTCTTCTGGAGGATGGTCCTGTAAATCAACTCTGCTAGAAGACACTTCATCAAAGTTCTTCACACCCTGGCTAGGGGCTCTCGTTTGGAGTGTCACTCCACACACCCAAGGTTACAGGTTTGATCTCCCTTAAGAGCAGAGTCCTGGGTCCCCAGACCTGGATACTCAAGGATAGTCTCACTCCCATTGGGTAAACGAGCTAAAGAGCAGCCAATCAGCCTCAGCGTCACTGTGGGTCCCTCAGTATAAAACCTCACCGGGAACCGAAACTCACCTGCCTTGAAAACAGCTCAGGGTTTGTTTGGGTCATGTTAGGAGGGCTCCAAGACCTTCTACTGCTCTCGGGGGTCCTGACCCTGACCGAGACCTGGGCCGGTGAGCGCGGTGTCGGGAGGGAACGGCCTCTGTGGGGCAGGATTGAGGGGACCAGGCAGGGGCGCAGGACCTCGGGACGGCGCGTCTGCAGCACCCCCGCGGAGAACCCAGATCACCGACTCCCGCCTGGACTCACACCTGCCCCTCCCCTCCTTTTCCGTCCCACTGTTCCCCTGCCCCAGCAGGCCCGACCTCAGACCCGGGACGCGCTTCCTTCCCACCCCCGGGCACTCACAGCCTGAGAATTCTCACCACCGCCCTATACGGCCCGGGCCGCGGGAAGAACCGCTACCTCGGCGCTGGCTACGTGGACGACACCGAGATGGTGCGGTACGACAGTGACGCCAAGGGTCCCAGGCTGAAGCTGGCAGCCGCGGGGCTGGAGAAGCTGTGGATGGAGTGGCGGCGGGGGGAGGCGGAGGATCGACAGTTTGGGGACGACTACATGCTCAAAATCCAGCACTACGAACAGATGAGCAGAGGGAACCTGAACAAGCTGCGCGCCCACTACAACCAGAGCGAGGACGGTGAGCAGGCGCCCCGGGTCTGGGCACCACCCCCATCCCCACGGGCCTGCCTGGGTCGCCCGGATTCCGGGTCGGAGCGCCCACGCGAGGCTGCTGGACCCTCCCTGCCCCCAGTGAGGGAGGACCCCAGGAGGACTTTGTTGCGGTTTCATTTTCACCTTTAGGTTTAATCACAGCTGAAGGGCACGGACGGGTTGGGTCCCTGACACACCCGTTCTCGGGGCGGGTCTAAGTGACCCCCACCAACCTGGGGCCCGGGTTAGGGTCTCACACCCTCCAGGAGCTGAGTGGCTGCGTGGTGGGGTCTGACCGACGCTTCCTCCGCGGGTACAATCACTTCGCCTACGACGGCGCCGACTATATCTCCCTGAACGAGGACCTGCGCTCCTGGACCTCTGCCGCGGGGGTCATCTGGAGCAACTTGGTGCAGGTCCCTGATGTGGAACGAAGGAGAGCCTACCTGCAGGAAAAGTGCGTGCGCTGGCTCCGCCTGATCCTGGAGAAGGGGAGGGAGACTCTGCTCCGAGCAGGTACCTAGGCACAGGCCTCCCCGAGGAGGGAATCTGTGGGCTGGGGCGGCTTCCTACAAGGAGAGGAGGGGAATGGGGAAGTGTCAGAATGTCGCTCCTGCTTGGGACAGGGAAGAGTCCCCCAGGTGTCATTCTGTGACTGCCCCATGGGCCCAGCTTTCTCTAAAGGACAATAAGGGACCCAGACTCTCCCTGAAACACCCCACAGTGGTTCCTTCACACCCTGCAGCAACTGGTGCACCAGGACTCTCTCCCTGGTTCTCTGGCTGAGACCTTCTCTGGAGGCCTGACTCAGGATTTTCTGAGTCATTCAGCCTCCACCTGAGTCTGTGTCTCCCCCTAGAGACCTGGAGATTCCTACTGTAGGTTTGCACCCTGATCTGGAATTTTGCAGGAAATAGCAGATTATCCCAGGTGCCTGTCTCCAGGCTGGTGTCTGGGTGTTGCTCTCCCTTCTCCCAACCCCGCTGTCCTGTCCACTCTCAGGGTGGTCACATGAGCACTGCTGGAGTGTCCCATGACCATGCAAAGTTCCTAAATTTTCTCACCCTCTCCTCAGACCCTCCAAAGACTTACGTGACCCTCCACCCCATCTCTGACCATGAGGTCACCCTGAGGTGCTGGGCTCTGGGCTTCTACCCTGCGGACATCACCCTGACCTGGCAGCGTGAAGGGGAGGACCTGACCCAGGACATGGAGCTGGTGGAGACCAGGCCTGCAGGGGATGGGACCTTCCAGAAGTGGGCAGCTCTGACTGTGTCCCCTGGAGAGGAGCAGAGATACACGTGTCGTGTGCAGCACCAAGGGCTGCCTGAGCCCCTGACCCTGAGATGGGGTGAGAAGGGGACATGGGCACAGAGCCTCTCCTCAGGGTGTCCCTGAGCAGGGTCAGGACTCAGGCCTGAGGTTGGCCTCTCACTTTCCCCTCACAGAACCCCCACCTCAGAACACCATCACCATCATGGGCATCGCTGCTGCCCTGGGTCTCCTTGGAGCTGTGGTCACTGGAGCTGTGCTGTGGAGGAGGAAGAGCTCAGGTGGACAAGGGGTGGAGCTGAGTTCTCTGTCCCCTTGGGGGTTAAGCTCAGGTGGAAGTGTGCTCTGCCTCGTTAATGGGCATCGTGTCCCCACATGGGTGCTTGTCTATCTGGGGCCTATTTGCTATCACTGACTCTTTATTGAGGCCCATGGAAAGTGAAGGGCACATTTATCACCTGATGGTTCTAATGATGGGGACTGATCCCCAGGTGTGCCAGGTCAGTGGGGAAGGTCCCTGCTGAGGAGAGATGTCCACAGGGGTATAGGTCAAGTCCCAGCACATGTACTCTCCCTGTATTTCCTGATCCTACCCTGGTGTTCAGTCATGGTTCCAGAAACTTCCCTGTGTTTCAGGAGTATGGGGTTCCTTTAGGGTCACAGGACCCAGCCTTCCCCCTGACTTCTCACAGAACGTTTTCTTTCCACAGGCAGAGGCAGGAAGAGCTACACTAAGACTGCCTGTAAGTCTGGGTGTTGGGGAGGTGACATCTGGGACCCTTGGGAGAGTGTGGGCTGGAGTCTGTGAGGGGGGCTCCCCCACCCTATAACTCTGCTGTTGTGTCTTCCCCAGGCAGTGACCATACCCAGGGCTCTGATGTGTCTCTCACAGCTCCTGACGGTGAGACCCTGAGGACAGGAAGTGGGGGTCATTGGGACTGAGGGGCACAGCTGTGTTTTGGGGATTCTCAGAGGGGGACATTCTGAGCATGCATTTGGGCTGTGGGAGAATGTGACACTTCTGAGACTGACCTGTGTTTATTCATGACAACTTTCTTTCCAGTGTGACAGAGCTGCCATGTCTGGGACTTGGTGGTAAAACAGTCACTGCAGCCTCCCCTTGGGACTTTAAGGATCCCTGACTGCTGTTTCTGCAACCAGCATTGGAATGTGTCTGTGTTCTTATCAGCACCAGTGAGGAGCTGGTCATCAGGCCACCCTCCCCACAAAGATCTGCGTCCTCTCCCTTGGGGACTATCCTGTTAGCAGAGTTGGGGTGAGGCCACGCCATCCTTATTATTCCTTGGCTGGATGATCTTTGTTGCTCCTTTCTCCTTGCTGCTTCAGGAGAACCTTGTCCCACCAGGACCTGGGATCTCAGGGACATGAGCGTCACCTGGGCCTTGTTGTGGCTCCAGGACTGTGCTCAGTGAGGGCTTCCTGCGGCCACGTCAGCCTGGGCTCAGGCCTGGGTCTGGTCCTCAGCCTGTATCTATTTGCTATTTCTTTTTTATTGTAGATACTGTAACTATTGTATTTAAAAATAAAGTGATGGGAGTATTTATATTAAATGATAGGGGTGTGTCTTTTTATTGAATGTATTGGGGTGCATTGGTTAAGAGGATCATTCAGTGCCCACTACCCAAAGTCGAACCATCTTTCCTCACCAGGTATGAGGCCCCTCGTCCACCAACCCCCTTCCCTCTGGGAACCACCACACTGCTGTCTGTGTCCATGAGTTTCAGGTTTATATCCCACTTGTGAGTGACATCATAGAGTTCTTAGCTTTTGCTGACCAAGCTATTTCACTTAGCATGATATTCCTGAGGTCCATCCTTGTTGTCACAAAGGGCAGTATTCTGTGTTTCCTATGGCTGAGTAGTGTTTGTGTATGAGTTTTCATCTCATCCTCCTCTGGGTGTCCCCATCTGACAGCAACAGGAGGCATTTTGTCTGTCATTGTCCCCACAAGGCTGAGGGTGGCCCCTGCACGCAGGAATCTGTGGTGTCAAGAGGGGAAGTTTCAGACGCATCCTGCTCTTACCTCCCTGGGCGTGATTGTTCTCCCACCTTTTCCCAGCCTCCTCCGGGGAACTGGGTTCTGGAATCAGCAGAGAGCAGGGGGCCTGTAATGTCTCACCTCAGACACGTTCCTGCTGCGATTCTGCTCTGCTCAGCTGCCGTCTCCCCCCACCCCTGCCCTTCGCTCTAGTGGAAGCTCCAGTGCAAACTCAGGGATTCACAGAGCAGAGGCCCCTGCAGGTTTAGGAGAGCAGCACTGTGGGGACATGGGGGGGCATTGGTAGCAGCGTGAGTACAGGTTGTGCTGTGGCTGCCACAGCACAGGTAGGGGCTGGGGCCATATCAGTAAAGACACTGTCACTACAATAGGAAGGTGTCTTACAGTGATGGGTCACTCAACTAGTAGTTTTTGAGTACCGGGTAGATGACATACCATTTTTACATCTGGAATACCAACATATGGAGATATTTCAAATTCGGGTCCAAACCACCGCAATAAAGTAAATATCGAAATAAACTGAGTTACACAAAATGTTTGGTTTCCCTGTGCACATACAAGACTTAAGCTGTACAGGAGTGTATTAAGTGTTTAATAGTATTATGCCTTAAAAGTAATGTGCACACCTTCATTAAAATAGGCTTTATTGTAAAAAAAAATGCTAACTATCATCTGAGTCTTTAGTGACTTGTTCTTTTTGCTGGCGGAAAATCTCAACTTCAATTAAAAAACACACAGAGCCCTGGGCAGGTGGTTCAGTTGTTGGAGCATCGCTTCATACAGAAAAGTTTGTGGGTTCCATCCCGTTCTGGGCACATACTGGGTCGTGGGTTCAATTTTTCAACAGGGTGCATACAGGAGGCAAAGCGATTAATGTTTCTCTCTCCCTGTCTCCCTCTCTCTGTCTCTCTCTCTCCTCTCTCAAATCAATAAAAACATATGCTTGAGTAAGGATTTAAAAAATACATCTGTGAAGTGCTATAAAATGCAGCAGTTCTGTGTATTGGGGAACTAAGAAGGGGCCGAATTGCTAGCCTGCATTAGTTCTCCAATACATGTGCCCTGTAAGGGCACAAGACACTTGTATTGGGGAAACTAAAAACACAGGTACCATTGCAAAATGACAAACTGAACTGTGACCACAGTCAGTGAGAAAAGAGTTCCCATCAGAAGGCAGGAGGTGCTGTGGAGAAGGGGATGCACTGGGGTGTGTTGGGAGAGGCAGGAGGTCTGTTAGAATTCAGGTGGTCAGTGTGGGCCTCACAGGAAGGTGGCCTTGGGGGAGAGATGAGAAGGACACAGCAATTGCCCAGCAGGAGGTCTGGGGCAGGCTCCTTCCAGGCAGGAAGCCTCCCATGCACACGCACTGGGGAGGGAGCCTCTGCATGTGGTTTTGGAACAGCCGGAGCCAGTATGGCTGCAGCAGAGTCCTGGGAGGGGTCAGATTCTGGCCACATCATGCAGACCTGGGAGAGGTTGGAAGGGTTTTGAGCTTGATTAAAACAATTTTGAACAAAGACAAATATGGTGGATTTTTTAAATGTTATTTTATTCATAACAGAAATATTTTAAAATTAGCCACATATATACACATATACATATACATATATATTAGAAGTGATTTAGAGTAAAACTCCAAGGTGTATGGTTATCAGCAGGTATTTTTCTATCTACACCAGCACCCATTCATTAAGCCATTTCAAGTAACTTTAAGTTCATAAATGTGCAATGAGATATGTAGCCGATCCAGGAGGGACAGACTGTGTGTGATGTAACAAGGGGACCTCATGGCTCCCCACTGATGTTCCCTGTGACCACTTGTGCTCCATGCACAATTCAGGGTTTCTTCCCACACATCCGAATGTGATGTTTTAGGGCCTCTGGCTGTGGCTGGTTAAGTCCCCTGATTCTAACCAAGTGCTGCCATGTTGCCTAGGAGTAACCCCAAGCTTCCAGGGCCCCCTCTTGTAGTCCTCAGTGTGTCTATGTGGGGTCAGAGAGCTAACCAATCAGAAGGTGAGAACACCTGCTTCAAGTAAGAGCTGTCCCAGTGTGCACTGTCCTTAATCCATTGTAGACATTGTTCTAATTCTATGGATGCTGAGTCCTAGATGGTCATGGCCAATGAGCTGATGTCCTTAGTGGCTTCCTCTGAGAGTTTCTCCCCACTAGAGAGCCCTTGGGCCACAGGGTCAGTCTGGCTGCTGGGCTGAGGACAGAATCAGGAGACAAGGGACCAGTGAGGCAGGAGGGAAACGTGTGGGGAAGCTCCCATGGTTCCAGGCTGCAGGTGCTGGGTGTTCTGACGGGGCTGTGAGTGGTGGAAACAGTGGGAAGGGACTGAACACTGAATGCATTGGGAAGATGGATTTCACAGCATTTCCTAGTGATTCAATCTGGGGGTGTGGGAAAGGAGTCAAGGAGGACACCCACATGTGTACTGTGCCAGCAGAAAGATGGGGGTTTTATCAGCAGAGAGGGAGAAGACCCTGGCAGGAGCATGTGTGGGAGAGGGATGGGTTTTTCAAAAGTTCAGCCGAAGAGGAGGTCAAGGTGAGATGTGTGTTAGAAACACCAGTGAGGTGTCAGGTTGGACAGATGAGTGTGGGGACCTTGAGGAGAAATGTCTGGGCTGGAGACATAGATGCGGAGGTGATGCTATGAGAATGACATTAAATCTGTGAGTGTGGATGAGGCCACCAAGGGAGCCAGGACTGCAGATGAGGAAAGAACAAGGACTGGACACTGCACCCACCTGTCCTGACAGGGGGGATGTTTATCCTGGTAACTCACCCAGGTTGGTGGCAGTCAGTTCTCCCCATTATAAATTCACCATTTGGTTAATGTCATTCATTAGTAATTTACAGGAGATATTCTGAGATCGTCCTGCTGTGCTTTTCATCACTTCTACACTCACCTTCCTTTGCCCCTCTATTAACATCTACCCAAGTCAAGAAGAATATGATGGTTGTACTGTACCTGCCCTGAGTATTTTTTTACTAGGATGTACAGTACAGCACAGGGAATATGGTCAATAATATTGTTGTGAATATTTACAGTATCAAATGGGTCCTAGATTTATCACTGAGATTACTTAACAAGCTATGTAAATGTTTAACCTTTGTGCTTTCAAGCTGAAACTGGTATAATATTATATGTCAAATATTATTGAAAAGTAAAAAAAATATTAAAAGTTAAAAAAGTTATAACTTGCACTTCATGCCCAATATTCTGAGAGCAGTTTTGGGGAGAAAGCGTGAGTATTTTGTGACAAGCCCCTGAGCCACCCTGGTCTCGAGTAGACTTGGATGCACACAATCCTGTGATGCAGTAAGACCCGGGTTGGGAAAGGCCTTGAATCCACATTTCAATGTTCTTCCCACCCTCAGGAAGGAAAGGTAGTTCATAATTTGTCAGATGAGGGTGGAAGGTACATGCTGTTTTTCTCTGCCGCGGGGGTAAAGTCAAGTAGAAGATTTAGAAAGTGGCTCTCAGTCCAATGTAATGAAAATCTCAGAATGCTCATTCTCTGCAATTAACCCCCTGACTGATTTCTTGAAAGAAGTAATAGAATCCAAAAATTTCTACTTTAAACATAGAAGGATTTCTATGTGGGATATTGGGAGCTCATTTTATTTCAGGAAAAGCCACAGAACAGACCTGAGGTGTGAGCAGCCAGAGCTGTGGGACTAGAACCCACAGGCAGACCAGCCTGGGTCACAGGGATGACGGTGTGAGGGACATGGGGACAGGGTTCTAGAAGACAAGGAGATGAAGGAAAGGGCCCAACAGGAAACACTGTGAGGGAAGCTATTGGTGCAGATGTCCCTGCACCCCAATGACATGTGACTCTAAGTCAGCTCCACCCAGGGAACAAGGGACACTTTCTCTGTCTCCTGCCCACATGCTCCTGAGGGCATCTCAGTCACTGCCATCTCTATTCGTGGTCACCAGACCTGCCTCAGGTTGCCATCCTGTGGTCATGTCCTGTGTCACATGCACTGACCTCAAGGTCTGGCCCGCCATCTCCATGGTGCCTCACCTGCACAGACACCTCCAGAGGCTGCAGCACATTCACACCCCCGCAGCCACCACCAGTGTCCTCCAGACACCAGAGCCACCCACATTGTCCTGATCCTGGTGGTCACCTGTGTCACCACCTACGTGCTGAATTCCATTCTTCTGTTCACATCACTGCCTTTTTACACTCTCATCTGTGGTTGATGCAGACAGCTCAGTTTCTGCTTTCCTGTTTCCCCAGCATCAGCCCCTCCCTGCTAGTCCTCAGGGACCTAGAACTACTGGGTGTGCTCTTGAAGTGTCAAAACCACTGTTGAGACAGTAAATATATAGAATAGAGCTTCAGTAGTAACCATAACTACTCAGTTCAGCAATTATGTCTTCAATACTATTTATTACATAAAATCTGTAATGACCTTAGAAGCTCAGTTTGAACTGGTGCTTCACTGGAAGATCTTCAAGTCAATCCAGAATATGATGAGCTTGATAAAGACCCATAAAATTATAGAGAAATTAGGTTCTCCACTGACC